TAAGTAATAACGACACGAGAAAAATAAATGTGCTTTCGAAAGGGACGAAGGAAAACGTGAAGAAACAAGGATGAAGTAAGAGAAAACAAAAAACGAAAGGGACGAAGTAAGTAATAATAACACGAGAAAAATAAATGTGCTTTCGGAAGGGACGAAGGAAAACGTGGAGAAAGAAGGATGAAGAAAAAAAAAAACGAAAGGGACGAAGTAAGTAATAATAACACGAGAAAAATAAATGTGCTTTCGGAAGGGACGAAGGAAACGTGGAGAAAGAAGGAGAAGAAGAAAAAAAAAAACGAAAGGGACGAAGTAAGTAATAATGACGCGAGAAAAATAAATGTGCTTTCGGAAGGGACGAAGGAAAACGTGGAGAAAGAAGGATGAAGAAGAGAAAAAAAAAACGAAAGGGACGAAGTAAGTAATAATGACGCGAGAAAAATAAATGTGCTTTCGGAAGGGACGAAGGAAAACGTGAGAAAGAAGGATGAAGAAGAAGAAAAAAAACGAAAGGCGAAGTAAGTAATAAAGACACGAGAAAAATAATGTGCTTTCGGAAGGACGAAGGAAAACGTGAGAAAGAAGGAAGAAGAAGAAAAAAAAAACGAAAGGGACGAAGTAAGTAATAATGACACGAGAAAAAAAATGTGCTTTCGGAAGGGACGAAGGAAAACGTGGAGAAAGAAGGATGAAGAAGAAGAAAAAAACGAAAGGGAAGAAGTAAGTAATAATGACACGAGAAAAATAAATGTGCTTTCGGAAAGGACGAAGGAAAACGTGGAGAAAGAAGGATGAAGAAGAAGAAAAAAACGAAAGGGACGAAGGAAGTATGAAGAAAAAAAACGAAAGAGACGAAATAAGTAATAATGACACGAGAAAAATAAATGTGCTTTCGAAAGGGACGAAGGAAAACGTGGAGAAAGAAGGATGAAGAAGAAGAAAAAAACGAAAGGACGAAGGAAAACGTGAAGAAAGAAGGATGAAGAAGAAGAAAAAAAACGAAAGGGACGAAGCAAGTAATAATGACGCGAGAAAAATAAATGTGCTTTCGGAAGGGACGAAGGAAAACGTGGAGAAAGAAGGATGAAGAAGAAGAAGAAAAAAACGAAAGGGACGAAGTAAGTAAGTAATAATGACACGAGAAAAATAAATGTGCTTTCGGAAGGGACGAAGGAAAACGTGGAGAAAGAAGGATGAAGAAGAAGCAAAAAAAACGAAAGGGACGAAGTAAGTAAGTGATAATGACGCGAGAAAAATAAATGTGCTTTCGGAAGGGACGAAGGAAAACGTGGAGAAAGAAGGATGAAGAAGAAGAAAAAAACGAAAGGGACGAAGTAAGTAATAAAGACACGAGAAAAATAAATGTGCTTTCGGAAGGGACGAAGGAAAACGTGGAGAAAGAAGGATGAAGAAGAAGAAAAAAACGAAAGGGACGAAGCAAGTAATAATGACACGAGAATAATAGATGTGCTTTCGGAAGGGACGAAGGAAAACGTGAAGAAAGAAGGATAGCAAAGAGAGGTTGATGACGCGTGTAGACGAAGATCACGAAGAGAAAAGAAAAGGTTAGATCAGCTGATTGAAGATCGACGCCTTGCTGACATTCCTATTCAATAACTACTAGACCGGTGATGATAATTATTCAAAATACAACTACAATATTCGTGGTGATAATAATTAACTAAAATACAACAACAATATTCGTGTATGCTGTATCCAACCAAATTACCTTCCAACAACAGGAAATATACGAGTTGTGTATATGTGTCGGTGTCCTGGACAACAACACGAACAACTTGTCCCTCTTGTTTCGTGTTCACTGCCTGACGAGAAACCCTTTGGCAAATAAAGCAGGATCATTGGAGAGGAAATGGCAGCCTCCTACCCTGACTATTTCTACTATTATCATGTTTGTAACTATTCCTCATTTATCATTAATATTATCAGTATCGCTATTATTGACATCTTTATTACAGATTAATACTAACACGGTATTAATTCGGTGATTCATGGACGAATCTAGAGCGAAAATATTAATTCATATTCACAGTCCCAAAAAAATAAATAAATAAAATATAAAAAAAAACGTGTGCCCTAAATGCATGTGAACAAAAATATAACCGACTAACAGAGTATAATCCTTTACGTAAGTTTGATATCCGGACTCGCTGAAAATAACCCCGGCTGTTGTAAAAAGACTAAATTCGAGCACTCGGCCCTGAGTTTATTGCAGAGTGTTGCCATCAAAGGCGCGAGAGAATAACAAAGGGATCTGTATTAACCAATTAGCCATCGTTTAGTTCAGCCGCTGTATCTACACCGCCCCGTGTGATAAAGTTATTTGACGTTGTAATAATGTGTACTTTATCAAACGCACTCTGTTGCTAAAGGTAATCAATTTCGTATGATGAAATGCCCCCCCCTCCCCAGGCTGCCCCCCCCCTCTTGTTGGAATTAAATAATCAACGTTCCAAATGTATTGATTTATTCATATGATCATGAC